CTGCTGTTTTGCTGTGGCGAGGGCGCCGTTTGTGAGCCTTGACGGCTGGAAGAGAGCTAGTTTTCTTGTAGGTTCAGAAAGCAACGTTAGGCAGTGGGAGCCGTTGCCCGGAGGCTCGGTCCGTCCTTCAGGGCCCTGCTGTTTTGCTCAATGGGAGATATGCCCAGGGGTCGGCGGCAGGGGGCGGAGCCCTTTAATATATATGTTTCAAGCACATCGGCAGGCAGTGACAAAAAAAGAAGTTGCCTCAAGTTGCTGCAGAAACACCAACAACCAACAGCAGCCTCAGCAAGAACCAGAGCCAAACGAGCTTTGGACCGGACTGGAAAGCACTACCAACACATCCACAAGATGAAAGTCAGGTGGCTGGAAACAAAGACGCAGGGAACATCAGGGTCAAAAGCGTCAAAAGTCGAAGAAGTGTTTGCCGAAACGCACTGAACAACTACCAGCGCTTGAGTTAGAAAACATCACGCGCCGCAGCCAAGTTCCTCAAAACCCTTTCGTAAACCGAATTCTGCGAAATATATGTTTCGCAGGGGAAACCAAAAAAAATTACGTTGACATGAAAGCATGACTGGGTTGACGGAGATGCTCTACGCGCAACAGCGAAACAAGAAACGTTCGCCCCGGATGGGCAAAGCCAAACTCCTTCGCACATCGCGTGCAGACTCGCAATAAAATCACAGTCGTCAAAGAGTCAAGCTTTGGCACAAAAGAAGCAGGTCTGACAATTTTCATATTCGACTTGCTCACCGGGGTAAACGATTTCTGCATGACATGTTGGAACGATTTCGCCAGAAGGATCCTGCATTGGTTTCGGAACGGCGTGTTGCTCATCGTTTCCAGTCGCTGCATTGGTTTTTCACTCAGGAATCGTCCACAGGAAGTGTTGTGATTGTGGAATTTGTAGATGTTTTCTTGCTTTGAAACTTTGGTTTTTGATACCTTTTTCTGAACTGGTCGTCCACAAACCAGCGTGAGATTCAGCATGTTTCTTTGCCTGGAAATGCTCAACATGTTATATAGACCAAGACTTGCATGATATTTATATATGGAGGTTTCTTAAAATAAATGGAGGGGAACCCCCAAATCATCCAAGTCATTAGACCATTCTAGTATTGAAACATATGGTTTCGGGGATGCTCCATTTTACTCTTGTATTAGTTCGACGACTCTTGTACTGTACAGAATAAGATATTCCTTTTGCTTCTGCCGCAGAAATCATGAAATTTGATGGACGTGATTTCAGCAGTGGCATCTGAATTCTATGATATCGGAAAAAAGCGGAATCCAAAGCCCATCTTTGGAATATGAAATTTAAACACTGCCTCCGCAGATTCACGGCGTTTCATTATAAGAGCCCTGATGGAACTCGAGGATCCGATACTTTCGTGTTAGATCTTGGTTGCTGAACACTTTTAAGATCAGCCATTTGGCACCCAAAACAAAACTATTGCTCGGGACCAAGAGGTTTTGCCACAGCACTCTCAGATTTCGACAATTGGTTTCTACATTTCGCGACTTTCTCCAACTAAACTCGACTCAGTTTGTTTAGCTCTTTTTCCGCTGGTTCATTGGCTGTTTGATCAAACTTGTTGGCCCTGCATACTTCTTTGGCCCACAGCCACTAGCCGGTGTCGTTTGGCGGTGAATAGACGTCACCAGTAGCACCTCCATGTTTGGCATTTCAAACAGCACATCAAGAGATCTAAGCGTCAGGGTCACCAGCGACGTCGCGGATGATCAGCTTTTCCCATATTTTTCTTGCGCAGGAAGTTCACGACGGATGCCATATTATACCAGTGCTGCAAACGATCTCCAGCAAATTGTTCAGCAATCAGCTGAATTTGTGCCATGCAATCTGGTGCTCACTTCTTCTTCAGGATATCGTCAATGACAGAGTACCTTAGGCCCGCTAGAAACTCGGACAAGTGAACATATGAGGCAAAAAGAAAAGGCCCAAGCAACGTTCGAGAAACGGAAAGATTTCTTTCTCTTGCATCACAGCATCCAATTTTTGAGGGTAA